AAAAAACGCCCAAAGAAAGCAGTATGAGACAAAACATCTACAAAAACACTAGAGTTTGTTGTGCGTTGGCCATGGGAGCAAATACAGAGACTCCCAGCCAGATTTTATGTATAATGTGAGAGATCTTAGAACATCAAACCCTTCCCCTCAACGCTCAGGAAATCTTGCTGTAAGAGGTCATAAGAGCCAGAGAGGACTGCAGACACCAAGGAAACAAGGCCTTCCACACACGACAGGATGTACACACGCATGAACTCACAGAGGCTGAGGCAGTGTGCACAGGGCCTACACAGACCTGCTCAAGATGGGGCCTAGAGCTGAAAGAAGTAGACAGAAGCCAGCAGCCCTAATCCAGAAGCTTTCCCTAATTAATACCCAGTCACCAACAAAAATTTAATTTTCTCCAACAGAATCTCACTGGATATACAAACCACTCTTTAGATTTTCCAACAGTAGATGACCAACATAAAATGACCTGAATGGCAACTTTGGACTCAATCTTTTGTCAGGGCATTTTTTTAACCCTTTGCATTTCTATTATGGCTTCTGGTTCTGTGTTTTCTTGAAATTTCTGTGTGAATATATGTGTGGTTGCATCTATCTGTGTTTCTTATTCTTTTTTTTTTCTCTCCTTGTGTTTGCTTGTTATGTCCTATTCTGATTTTTTTTGGGGGGGGGGCTTATTTAATTATTATTCTTTAGAAGTGTGTTTTCTAAGCAGAAACAGAAAGGGTGTGGATCTGGAAGGGAGTGGAGGTGGGGAGGATCTGACAGAGAAGGAAAAACTGTAATCAGAATATATTGTATAAAAATATCTTTTCTGTTTTGTTTTGAGACAGGGTTTCTCTGTGTAGCCTTGGCTGTCCTGGACTCGCTTTGTAGATCAGGCTCGCCTCAGACTCACAGAGATACGCCTGCCTCTGCCTCCCTGAATGGAGTCACAGGCATGCACTTGGCAAAAATGTATTTTCAATAAAAGAAAAAGAAAAAAATGCTCAGTAACTCGCCATCTGGTCAAGCAGGTTCTGAAATAGTTACTTTATACCCATAGATTTGGACTGTTCTCAGTCTCGGTCAGAGAAGCCTCTCACTGCGGTGGGTGTGGCTGATGCCGAGACTTACAGCTGGTCAAGGGGTTAAGACCAAGTAATAAGTGACAATTGAGTGCTCAGCTGTAAATGCGACATCTGTACCACCCCTTCCAATGCTCAAGGAAGACGAAGGAAGAGGGAGGGGAAAGAACGTTAGAACTGGGGGACACAGGAAGGAGTGTTGTAAAATGCAGGCTTATGGACATGACATGAGTATTGAACCCATGAACCCAGAGAAGCTAGGGTTACTTGAGCAAGACCGACACGCGGCAGGTGCCATCCATGCCCCTCATCGTGGGGAAGGTTCTTACGATGCCTGCTCCTGCCTGTGGGGCTGTTGGCAGCCGATTGCTGGGGGAGAGAAAGGAGGAGTCGTCCCCAGTGTTTTAGCTACTGCTAAGCTGCTGTTTCTTCAATTTCAAATGCAGGTAAATTTTAACAATTTTGTTGTTGTACTGGGAACAATCAACATTCTTCAAGTTCATGAAAAGCATTAAATTATTTACTAACTGTAAGGCAAGTAAACATAAAAATAATACTGGAACAGATTTATTGGAAGACATACACATATTTACTAAGTAGGAATAAGAGTATAAATGATACGTGTTTTTTGACAAGCACCATACAAACATAATTGATTATTCATAGAGGTGAACTCTCTGTCAGTATCTTTCAATGTAAAACATATGAAGAGCATGCTCAACAAGTAAGAGTGCTTGTTGTGGAATCATGAGGATCTGAGTTTCAGTTCCCCACACCCATATAAAAAGGTGGGCATGCACAAATATAGCCCTAGCAATGCAGGGGACAGGGACAGGAGGATCCATCACTGTGTTTTGCTGTCTGCTGGCCTAGCTCCAGGTTCAACGAGAGACTTTTCCTTAACACAATAAAGTGGGGAGCAATAGAAAAGGGCACCTGACATTCTCTTCTGGCTCCTACACATATGTGTGCATATACCACACACACATGAATGCCATACCCACACATACATGCATACACAGACATACATGCACTGTAAATTAATCTGACCCTTTCTCAGAAAATTGGGAATAGCTCTACCTCAAGACCCAGCTATACCACTCCTAGGCATATATCCATTCAACAAGGACATTTGCCCAACTATGTTCATAGCAGCTTTATTCGTAATTGTCAGAAACTGGAAAAAAAAAAAAAAACAACAGATGTTTCTCAGCTGAAGAATAGATAAAGAAACTATGCTATATCTACACAATGGAATACTATTCAGCTATCAAAAGAACGCTTTAAACAGAATAGACAGAAGAATTTTGTTTTTAAAGTTGGAGATGATTCTGAAAGAATTGCTCACCTTGAATGTTGATCTGATAAGAGGAACGGGGTGCTGTGCTCATCCCTCACCCATACTTCCTGTTTCTATTTTGAAGATGAGCAGCTAAAGCAACTATTCTAAGGTCTTTTTGCATAAATGCCCACAAATGCACCTGGCTGAAAAAGCTTAGCTAGGATTGGTTGCAACAGTGTCTTTTGTTCCAAATTCAGAGAACTGAAAAGTGATATGAGCAGTAGGTGACAAAAACTACAAAGTAAGGCCTCTTTTTTTTTTTTTCGTATATAAGCAATAAAGTTTTGTTCATACATAAACAAAAATGAAATCATAAATTTTGTAGGGAAATGGATGTAATTGGTTTTAAGGGTGAAGGATGGAAATAAGAAATAGAACAAATGTGACAGGAAATTAAAGGAAATGCCAGGGTATAATGGCACAGTGCCATAGGGGGACAGAAGGGTAAGGAAGAATAATGGGTGGAGTATCAAGCAAAACTATGTATGAAAATTCTACAAAGTAATGTGTTACTTTGTATGTTAATTTAAAGATAAAGGAAATATCAATTGCTGCTTTGACTATATATTATGAATGGAAAATATATTTTCAATATATATATAGTTTTTGAGACTATAATCTAATTACATCATTTCCCTTTCCTTTCCTCCCTCCAAATCCTATCAGATACCTCAAGTCCTATCATGTACCCCCTCCCCTTCTTCTCTTTAAAATTTATGGATTCTTTTCCTTTTTTCATTATTATTATTATTATTATTATTATTATTATCATCATCATCATCATCATCATCATCATCATCATCATCATCATCATTTATTACAACTTATTCAATTTGTATCCCCAATGCATGGAGAAGACCTAAAACCCTGGCTCAGATGTAGCCCACAGATTCTGTCTCCAAGTGGGGTCTCTAGTAAGGAGAACATGGACTGTCTCTGACATGAACTCAGTGGCAGGCTCTTTGACTACCCCCCACCCAGGGGGGAGCAGCCTTACCAGGCCACAGAGGAAGACACTGCAGCCAGTCCTGATGAGACCTGATAGGCTAGAGTCAGAAGGAAGAGGAGGAACCTCCCCTATCAGTGGACTAGGGGAGGGGCATAGGGGGAGAAGGAGGAGGGAGGGTGGGATTGGAAGGAGTTGAGGGAGGGACCCGTAGTAAGGCCTCTTAATTGTCTGTTTATAGATACAGACACTCTCCTCACACTCCTATTCTCACAATTTCCTTAAACGATAAATTTGCTCTAGTGCTTTGCACCTTCTAAGCAAACTAAAAAAAGAATGGCAAATTATTTGGTTTCTCTTGTCTCATTTCTGGAAGGCCACATCTTGCATTTGCATGCTAGTCAACTCACACACACACACACACACACACACACACACACACACACTCACACATGCAAATACATAGACCACATTCACTCATTCAGCAGTTCATGTTTGCTCCAGTGGCTTCTAGCTCTTGCCATCTACTATATATTAAGACTCTGACATTATTCATTCAGTGCCTGAAAATTCAAATCTCAAGTGATGAATAAAATCATGAGCTATTTTTTTAAGTAATTAGACTCAAGTAATCTGGAAATTCAGAACACCTGAAAAATCATATCATCTTCTCAAGCAGCTGCAGTGTCAGAATTTAAACCTAAATGATCTCCATATGACATAGTTTCATTACATGTGATTTGTTCTTATTCACTTCATAAGAAGCAAGAAATGAAAGTATGTCAACCCCTTAATATTCCAGGCTCTTTCCCTTTGTGAATTGTCCTTTGAGTTTAAACTCAGATAAAGCACAAGGTGGTTTAAACGTTAATATGAATTTGCCTGATAATATCTATTCCCATTGACTCTTGTTCATAGGCCACTTTGTATATTAGTTTATCAGCATTGAATCATGTGCATTATTGTACTTAATCCAAACACTACCACTTTGGATACAAATGTACTTACTATACATTGATGAATCCTGGTACTACCTGACTTTCTCAATCTAATAGGGTGAAGATGAGCTACTCATTGTCAGGGATAATGACCAATGACTCCACATCTGTTTGGCATATTCTGTATCCATAATGTACCAATTATCCTTTCTAGTTGTTTTTTTCTTTTCTGAATTGAGTCCAAGATAATTTTCTTTTACATTAAAAAAATAAAATATGAGCTATAGATTGACATGGAGAATTGTCTTTTCATGAAAGGTTGGCTGAGAATATACAATCATTACGGTATTTATGATTAGTCAGTCAAATTGGGCCATTCCTTTTCCTGAATATGTAGTGAGCAGATCCAAATAAAACACTCTTTCTTCCCTGTGAGTCCCTCTGGTGTGTCAAATTCAGATATTGGGTACAACGTGGTCAATTTTAAATGTTCTGTTGGTCTGCTATCTGGAATATGAGTTTTCCAAGTGAAAAATCTGTTGTTCAAGGTTCTTGTACAAAACTCTCCCAAAGTTTTCAGGAGAAATTTTAACTTAATATTTCATGAACCTTTAAGACATGGCACCAGTGGAAGGTTAGTTGACAATGGAAGTCCTGACAACGCGCTCATGTGGTACCGACAGCCCATGCCAGTGGCAGGTTTAACTCCTCACACATATGGATGCATATTCTGTGGGGGCCTCTTGCACGTTGCTTGCCTGTCTTGGGTTTCTTCCAATCGCAGAATGGTTCAAAGAAGCGTAAACAACACCCTGTTTGCCTTGCTCCAGTTGTGAGTTAGTTGTGGATTCAGACCCTTGTTGAACACTGGACCAGGGATCATTATCATAAACCCCAGCTCCTGATGGCAGTGTTTGGGAATTCATCCTGGAACTCACTGGAATATCAACCTGTAAGAAGAAAGATATGTTCCATGTAGGGACATGACGAACATGTTCATTATCAGGCTATGAGCAAAAGGCTACATGGTGTCATGCATATTGAGAGAGACATCAACTCTTTCACATAGAAACCACCTCATATCTACGTTTTTTTTAAACTTTGCACCATCAAAGTATGAAAGGGTTGGGTTGTTTTTGTTTGTTTTTGTTTTTTAATGTTATGTGCAGTTCCCCAGGAATGCTAGGCAGGTACTGACCACTAACCTCCAAAGAGCAAACATTTCAAGTCCACTATGGTCTTCCCAAACAATTGTTTCGTGCTAGATTATGGGTCATTTGAGAAAATACACACACTGCTCTTTCAATGGAAAATCACAGTCCAACTTCATGTGCTAAAAAGAATAACCCTATGAAAATGTTAGGCAGTTTCCAACACATTTGACAGTTGGAACACTGAACACCAAAAGGTCAAGCCCTAGGAAAAAGATGTGAGACCTCCCCAGGAAAGCAGGAACAGGAAGCATTCTGGGTTATCCAAGACATGTTATGATGATCAGAGATCTGAATTGTAAAACGAAAGCCAATTTTGAAAGAACAAAGTTTTGACAAGGTTCTGTAACATTATTCTGGTTATTGTTTCTATCACAAGAAAATCACCATACTTTGAAATAGTGTCAGAGGAATTTGTGAAAACTAAAGTGAATCCTGATGGGTTTTTTTTCTCCCTCTTTTCAGTTACTTATTAGCTGTTCCTGGCTATCGGCAGAGAGCAGATGGTAGAGACGCCGATGTTCTATGAATAGCATGGGTTTTCATTTGCGTGTGTGGGAGGTGGGAGGGGGTGGAATTGTGTGTGTGTGGGCAGGTGTGCTCAGCCATGTGTGTGCATGTGGAGATCAGAGATCAACGTCAGGTTTCTTCCTCTATCCCTCTCCACCTTGATTTTGAGAAAGACTTTCTTGCTGGAGCTGGCAGTTTTTTAGCCAGCCTGGATGGCCATTGAAACCCCTGTTCAACCTGTTTTCACTACCTCCCCCACTGCTGGGCTTACAAATGTGTGCCCAGATTTTATATAAGTCCTGGGACTCCACACAAGTGCTTGGGCTTGCGCAGTGAGTACTTTACCGCCAGATCCATTTCCTTGGGCCTCTAATTTGAGTTTTTAAATCACCATTTTCCCAGCCAAGTTATGTTCTCCTGAGTTATCAGGTTCTTGATCTTTGATTATTCATTCTCCTCTGGTTCATGGTAAGTCTCACTGTGACATATGCAGTAGGATTTCTCTTGTATCTACTAAGGAAAGCTCTGTGCTGTTAGCATGTTTAGCCCTAACTTGAGAAATGAGGCAATAACTTCTGATATTCTGCTACTTTCCTATAAGGTGAGCTCCCGGAAATAACACTAAGGCTAGAGATCTGAAAGAGCTAAACATGAGTTGGCTAAAATGGAAAGCGCCAGCACAGAAAATGAGCCTGCATGTGGGGCATCAAAGACTGTCAAGTGAATTGATAAATAATTGTTAATTCTCCACCATATTACAGAGGTCTCTGCTAAACTTTCCAATCTTTTCCTTCTGTCAGCTCAGTTGACTTGGCTCTCTTCCCCAGGGAGGCTCATTCTCATGTAAAACTCCTTTAGCATGAATATGGTTCTTTGCACCTGAAGCTGTCCTATAACACTCCATAAAAGTAGTAGATGCCAAAAGACAGATGCACTATGACATGGTAGCCAGAGAAGATAAATACCAGATGTTAGACAGAGGCAGCCATCTCATCATACAAACCTATTGCGCTTAGCAGTTGTACAGCTCTTTTTAAAATAAACATGTTGATTTTTAATTCACATTCCAAAAACCTCATCCCTTTAAGTGTATTATGACTGAGTGGAGTATACTATACATTCACTTTTAATCTCTTAGCACAGCTCTTTGCAACCTGTGGGTCGCAACCCCTCTGGTAAACCTCTGTTTCCAAAAATATTGACATTACAGTTCATAACAGTATCAAAATTACAGTTATGAAGTAAGAATGAAAATACTTTTATTTGGGGTCATGTTGGGGGTCACCACAATAGGAGCAATTGTATTGAAGAGTCACAGCAGTAGGAAAGTTGAGAACCACTACCTTAGAAGGACCATTTTGGAATAAGATCAGAATTCTGGACTTTTGGGTTGCGTTGTTGTTCATGTTTCTTTAGCATACAGTAATTGCACATAATAATGTTTTACTATGGCATACATTATAGGGCAGATTTGTTCATGTTCACCTTCCCGTGGAATCTCTTGTACCCTTCCCAACTCTCCCAACCCTTTTCTCTTCCCCACTAGTTTCCTTTCTATTTTGAGGGTTTTTTCCCCCAATAAATTTCATTTCAGTTGCTTACAAAAATGTAGGTGAGGGTTTATTTACAGTGACTACACCGAAAATGCTCCCTCGATCCTCAGAGCTCCTCTCCACTTCATAACAAAATGTTGCGGGTCCTATCTTGTACGTGCAGGCAAACACAGCTAATGTAAAAAAGCTGATGTGTGTGTGAGTGTGTGTATGTCATATAAACTTCCTGCAAAAGTACATATGGTATAGTATAAAACGTGTTTGTCTTAACAGATACTTCAAACATACCAGATTAATTTCCCTTCCTGCTAAGTCAGAAGGCTTCTTTTCTTTCCCTGAAAGATTAAAAAGAAAAATGGTAATCAAAGGGTTTTAAGAAAACAAGGTAAACTATCTTGGTTATCCTGGTGACTAGTAGAGAAACCAAGTACCATTCCTACCACGTTGCATGCTTGCGACCATGTGGTTAGCTTTACCTTGCTGTCTTGGCTAGCCTCTACTACACACATCTCAGTTGGTGCAAATACACAGGCCCACTTCCCTCCCCTCATTTCTTACCCGACTTACGAGTCTTCACATCCAAGAGGAAGGATCTAGTAAGGCAGTTTTAGAAGGTTGGTAGTCTTTGCTAAAAGTGCTTCTGTCAGCTCTGTGATTGTTGGGGTACCTATATCATACCTCCTCTCCCCTACGGCTCAGGTGACATTGAGGAAAGATAGTAAGAGCCAGAGGTTGGGGAAGACGAAGGAAAAAAAATGTCTTCTGGACATGCCTACACTGTTGTGTCAACTGACTCGTAACTCCTGTGATTTCTTGCAGACTATGCAAGGTTAAGCCAGCCAGCATCTCAGTAGATGAGCCTTGCAGTCTTTAGCTGATGACAGATGATGGCTGCTAGAAGATAGAGAGTTACTTCTTTTAGGGGTGTAGTCTCCAGGACGTTACCATGCCCCAGTGGATCTCCACACTATCTGGACTCAGTGGGTTTTTACATGTTTTTTAAAAGAACATGAAATTTGGGAACGGGATGTAAGGGGATCCAGGAATATTTAACCAATACTTCTGTCATGTAAACATGCTCCCAGTTCCATAATAATAATAAGATTATAATAAGATTATCCCAGTTTCTTATTGGATGGAAGTTCAGAGAGATGGTCTGGGAGCCCCAGGAAATATGAAGCTACAGAAAGACCAAGTGTGGTTACAGATACAGAGGTGTGTTTCTGGGGCAATTTAAGGAATTTAAGGAGCTATAGGGTGGCTCTGGGATCCAGAAGCACTCACTTCAAAACACCAGAAGTACTTTTGCCCAGACAAAGCTTTCTCTTGTGGCTGCCAAATAAAGGATTCTTTGTCCGGCTCAATTTCTACAGCTACATTGTGGCTGGTATTGTAGAAAAGGGGAGGGGAAGACATGAAAAAGAACAGGGAAATAGAGAATATAGATAGACCAGATCAACACACCTCTCTTGCTGAGTTTAACTGTTCAGTGGTGACAATGAAGACATGATTTCAAAAGAAAAAAAGCGGCTACTTCAAGATATCACATCTCTCTCATTATAGGCAAGTCCACATTCAAGCATTTGTTTATGAGAACAATAGAAAGTACACAGGCATATGAATTACTTCTGGGGACGATGGCTCTTTGTTTAAATAAATAAGTGTATATATCATTGGAATTATGTGATGTTGCTGTGGAAAGAGCTTAAATCAAATGACTCAAATTAGACATGTTGGTTCAAGAGATTATTTCAATCTGCCCTTCCACTTGGGAGAATGCTTCCTTATATACACTGAAGACTGATGTGTATAGAATAAGAAGTTCCAGTCATGCGCACTCCTAGGCACGAGCCTAGGCTGGCACTGTGATGTGGTGAGTATGGCTTGCCATGCCTGGAGGCAGCTCAAATCAATCCATTCAGTTCTCTAGTGGCAACCAGTAGTTCCTGAGAGATCGTTATCCAGAAAGAAAATAATAATTAGGTAAAAATCTACCCGCCCCCCCAAAAAAAAACCCCAAAGTGTGGCACACAGGGGCAAAGGGAAATTGCAACCCACCTTGGAGCCTTTTCAGAAAGCAGACCATGCAGAAACAGGCAAGGAGCAAAAGCAATGCCCCCAAAGGAAGCAAGATGTAAAGCAGCCAGGTCCTGCCTGGCTTCTCTTCTATGGTGGGTGGTCCTGAGGCATTGGTGGTATCTGGGATGCCAGACACTGCTGAAAACAGTTAGGAAGTCTGAGAAACATTAGGGTTGGCAACATCCCTTGCACTGTCATAATTTGAATGAAGGAACTTGCAGGCTAAGCCCTCTATCTCCTCTGGTGGTCCCATCACCTTCAACCTCCTATTTTTTTTTTAATTTTTTTGTAAAGATCTCACATTCTGTTTGGATGAGTCATCTGTAAAACAATCTCTATGACAATTCTCACAAACCATTTCACCAGGCCTTTTCATTTATAAATTTAGTCCAGTACCCAGGAAGCCATTTTCTTTGTGCAGTTTTATAACTTGAAAGGAATGTTACTGCTCCAAAAATTGCCAAAAGTCAGACAAGCCATGAATGGTGGTTGGGACTCATACCAACTGGTTTCTGATGTTGTACTTCTATTTCCTCTCAAAATTCATCAGTATCTCTAAACACCAAATATGTTCATTTCTACCAAATATGCTTTGTTTGACATCTAGCTAGTGCTCATTACAATCAGCCAGTGTTAAAATTCAGTCAGTCCCTGTCTGATCAAGGTTGGCCACAACTTAGAGTTTTTATCCACAACTCAATGGATCAAAAATAATATTTTTTAATGATATAAAATAAACTGGAAACGAATAATACAGGCTCCTGAAATGGTTCTCAACCACAAAATTCCTCATCCCCCAGAAACATTTGGTAGTTTTTGGAGATATTCCTGGTATAACAAGGTGGGAAATGGCCCGCATCTAAGGAAGAAAGCCAGGGGGCTGACTTAACTCCTTGAATCATACAGCATACTGTTCCATTACCATTGCAGAAAAATTAAACATTCGACAATCTATGGATTTTGTGAAACTGCTTTTTATGTATGTGTATTCTGGGCTATAATGTAAGAAGCATTTTTTTTTCTTTTGGGTTCCTATTAATACAGGATCAAAAAGCAGTGAAGTAAAGTATTGAATTACATGTGTAAGGTTTTGGGTCTCCCCCCCCCCCTAGATTGGGGTAAAAACAACCAGGAGGGCAATTGAATGGGGATATACAGCGGCCATATAGCTTGGTGATAGAGAATGGTGGCAAATGTACTGCAGCTGCTGTTTGGGCAAGCAGCCAGGAGACAAACACAGCTGTCTTGGGGGAAGCAGTTGGATGGCAAACAGTAAATAATCTAATACAAACAAACTTAATTAAGAAGACCGTATTGCCATTATTTACCGGAACACCAAACAAACTTGCTAATTTTGATTTATGTGATACTTACTTAGAGGGTGTTCTGAATACTTTTGAGCCCTTTCTGAAATAGAAAACAAGACCGAGTATTAAAATGGCTTCAGAAAAACACTGGGATGGTGCTCTCTAAAGTTATCTCTAAAGTCAGAGCTAATTAGAAAAGACTCCAGTGTTGGCACAACAACAAAGAATCCAACAATCTAGTCCAAGCTCAGCTTGAATAATTCATGGATCTTCTCCTTGAGATCATGATACACAAAGAAAACCATCATCTGACTTATTCGGTTTTCTTTTCCTCTTTTCTTAAACATAAAGACACACAGACCCTATGGGACCTTTGACACAATACAACAAACCATGTGACCAGCAGGTGGTCCAAGGAAGCATGGATGGCCACAGGGAAAAGCTGCTCTGGGTGATATTCCAGGAACTCATTCTGAAACAAAGACTGTAGCTCTCACTCCCTACTCCTCACCCACACTCATCTCCCCGCACAAATAATGACCTCTGAATTTTTGTGATGTGCCTAATCAGACACTGAATGGGACATTTGAGAAGTACAGAGTCCATTGGCTGGTCCCACCTCTTTGACATAACCTCCTAGGACTCCTGTTTTGTTACTCTGTAGAAAGTTGTTATCTCCTAGAATGAGAAAAAGTACCTTGTGTAACAAAACAGGAGTCCTGCTAAGGTCTCGCATAGTGCACACAGTGAGTTTTAAGTCAGCCAAGACTATATACTGAAACCCTGTCTTAAAAAAAAAAGCAAAACATAACGAAAATAACCAAAAAAAAAAAGTAATTGAGTAACTATAGATATCGCTCAGTGGATAAGAGCATTGGCTGCTCTTTCAGAGCACCAGGTCCAATTCAAGAACCTACATGGAAGATCAAAACCACCTAAAACTCCAGTCCCACAGGCACCAGGCAAAAACATGGTACATAGACATATATATAGGCTACAACACCCACACACAGAAACTAAAAATAATATAAAAAGTCAATTGATCATATACAGAATTTTATTCTAGACTGTCAATTCTTTGTTGATCTCACCACAGCATTTAAATTGTTGTATTTTAATAATAAATTTTGAAATAGAGAAGTATTAATCTTCCAAATCTCTTTTTTTATCAAGATTATTTTGGCTACTTGAGGAATATTACACTAATATATGACTTTTAGAGTTAGTTTTTGCTAATTCTCTTTTTAAAAGTTTTAGAAGTATGATTTAACAGAAATGATGTTGAATCTTGGGGACTGTCATCTTTCAAATACTAAGTCTTCCAAGATTATGACAATGGGATATTTTTATATCTTCTTTAATTTCCTTATTTGTTGATTTATGCTTTATTTGTTCTGTCTACAAGTCTGTTGCATGTAAGTACCTTGTACCTTTTGATTATAAGTAGAATTGTTTACTTAACATCCTTCTTAGATTACCCATTGCTAGCACACAGAAACCACAAATTCTTATATGTTGGGACATTTTCCTAAAACTTTGCTGAAATCACATATTAACTTGAGTAGTTTTCATAGATGTTTATGTATTTTTTCTAAATATAAAGTCATGCCATCTATGAAAAGAGATACTTTTTCTTCCACTCCATTTTCAATACCTTTTATTTCCCATTCATGCCAAATTTCTTTGGCTAAAGCTTCCCACTTAATGTTGAATGAAAGTACCCACTATTAGAGGACCAGTCTTTCACCAGGGAATATAGTATTGAAGATAGATCTTCATAAATTGATCATTCTTTACTCTCATTTCTCCTGCCTTTTTTGCTTGTCCATGCTTTGTTTATTTTGAGTGTTCCCCAGTCTAATGCCTGCTTGTTTGTTCTTAGCTCCTAGAACCAACTGAAAAATATGAGGAGTGGGAGAAGCTGAAAACATCATTGAAACTCTGCATATTTCCCAAAACTCAACAAGGAATCTAAACATAGAGTTATTTGCTTGTTCTTTGTCCTCTAGGCAAATGGTGAACTAGTAATATTAAAAAGTTAATAACTGCCAGTGTATGCAAACAGAGCTTCTACAAATTTCAGTCAACCAAAATCAACAACAGAAAAAATAAAAATGAAGGAGAAAAAAGAAAACAGTATTTCTGTGATCTATTTTTGAATTTGTCAAATAAATATTTGAACCTCTTAAGACAAGTAGTAACTTGGCCTGGTGTGTTAGCACATGCCTTCATTCCCAGCACTCAGGAGGCAGAGGTAGACAGATCTCTGTGAGGTCAAGGCCCTGATTTCTACATAGTGGGTTCCAGGACAGCCAGAGCTACATAGTGAAACCCTGTCTCAAAAAGAGCAGTAACTTCCATTATTTTCCCTCTTCCGTTCTTGACCTCACGTTCCTCTCCCCCTACACAAATACTTGGTGTCCTCATGACTGTCATAATAGGTGATATGTCGTAGACTGTGGATGTGATACATGTTTTCCAGCTTCTGACTGAAGCGCCTGAAAGTCTGGATTGTCTTTCTCACAGAGCCATGATGAAAAAAAAGCTATAGATGATCTGGGTTAGAGCACTCACCTTTCACGTGGACGGCTATTGCATGGCTATTAACAACATCAGAGTTAAAGTTTGTAGAACAGCTATATAACCCGTTGTCACTGAGATTTATTTGTTTAAAGTAGAGAACAAAAACTGAAACCCGGTCATTTTCTTCCCAATTCATGTGTAGCTGAGGTCGCTCCTCAAGGGGTAAACAGTTTGTTTCATGCTGCTTGCACCAAGTCACATTAGGTCTCTGAACGCAGTACGTCACGGGACATTCAATTTTTAAAATATCTCCTGTTGAGACAGTGTATTCTGAGTTCCTCTTAACATTAAGTTGTATTTGACATGACACTTCACCTGAAACACAAAAGCAAAACTGGAATAAGCATGCTCTTCTAGAAGAACCGTATATACCACTGCAATTATTTCCACCAAAGTTATTCTCATACATAATTCCATAATCTTCTGCAATACTGCTTTCAGTACTTTACTTCTAGTAGCCCAGTGTGGTACACAGCTGGCACATAATAAACGATAACCTCACTCCAAGTGTTAAGAGGCCATTAAAAATCCCAAGCTAAACAACCATAATATATACGAGAGGACTTAGCCCAAACCCATACAGATCCTTTAATTTCCGCTTCAGTCTCTGTGAGCCCATATGAGCCCTGCTAAAATGATTCTGTCTGTAGGCCATGTTTTCCTGGTATCCTCAACCCCTCCGGTTCCTACAACCCTTCCTCTCTCTCCCTCTTCCCAGGGGTTCCCTGAGGTCTTTGCATCTGCTCAGATCTGCTGTTGGAGGGAAGCCTCTTTTATGACAATTGGACTAGGCACTGATCAGAATAGCAAAATATTATTAGGAATGATTTTATGGATTTTTTTTTGCCAGGGTTCTGCCCTGGGTCTCTGGGTTATTTAGCCTCCTGTCCCTGGCCATCCAGGTAGTATTGCATGGGTTCTCTCTCTGGTGTGGTTAACTCTCTCAAGTTAGACCAGTTATTGGTTGACCACTCCTACAAGCTCTGAGCTACCATTGTCCGAGCATGTCTTTCAGGCAGGACAGATTGTAGGTTGAAGGTTCTGTAGCTAAGCTGTCCCACTCCCGCCACTGGAAGCCTTGCCTGGCAATTTACAGCAAGGCTACAGCCAACATCAAATTAAATGGAGAGAAACTCAAAGCAATTCCACTAAAATTAGGAACAAGACAAGGCTGCCAGCTCTCTCTATGTTTAGTCAATATAGTACTTAAAATTTTAGCTGGAGCAATATGACAACTGACAGAAATAAAGGGGATACAAATTGGGAAGGCAGAATTCAAAGTATCATTATTTGTGGACATTGTGATAGTAAATACATAAGCATTCCCTTGTTTTTCAATGACTTTAATACTGTCTTTTCCATGAATCTGTATAAGAGACATGCAATTTAACCATCACAAGGTAAAATATGCTTTGATGACAGCCTATTATTCTATACTTCATGAAGCATAAAGAGAAACAGCACCCTACCTCTTCAGACAGATATACTGGAAATGTGCCTCCCAGGAACATGTTTTTCAATAACTTATGAAACTTGAGTTAGTAACTGCCAAGGGTTTATAAAGCAGAAGTAGTGCCTCTTGTATAATATTAGTATCTAAGAGGCTGGAACAGGATTATTGTTAGTTTAAGCACAGCCTGAATTACATAGCAATTTTCAGGCAAACCTATGCTATATAGCAAGACACTAGCTTAAAAATAAATTTAAGAAACATAAACAAAAAGAACCTGTAGCATAGAAAAACAATTAAAATTTTCCACATCATTGAATAAGTTATATTGTCATTAACCTATGAATTATTTTATTATTAATTATCATTTACCTTGTAACCTCAACACACAAAGTAGATCTGAAGCCAAGACAAATGAAAAAAAGATTTTCTCCAAGCAGGAAAGATAGACAATGTGAGATAGCAAACTGACTTCGCTTTATACATAGTTCTTACAATTTTACTATCCTTTGATAATTAACCTATAATTGTGTCATATGAAAAACAAAAACAATTGCAAAACTTAAAATTATGTTTCATTTACACCGCTGTCTTGAAACAAATAAGCGTTGCAATTTGGTCTACAAAAGCTTCTACCAGTGTGGTTGCTTCAAACCAGGAACTGGCTTCAACAGCTCAAGTTTTGGTTGCTCAGGATACAGCCATGTGTAGGTGTTCACGCTCATAACTGCAGGACTGCATTATTCTTTTGAGACCCACGCATAAAAGAAGCAGAGGAAAGGACATGCTCCTGACAACTTTAGAAGCTTTGGGGTATCAGTTACAACATGTAACTTGTATTTCTGAACCATCTAAAAATTACTGGATAGGATTCTCTTAGCAGGTGGAACAAACTCAAATCAAAACAACAAGGAAATAAACCAAGAAAGAACAATAAAGGTGTGTGTGTTGTGGGGAAGCTTGAAATACTTTAAGATCTTGTGCTTACTCTTACCTTTAACATAAAAAAAAAAAATGCCACAAAGACCTTAACAAAAGGAATGGTCCCGTTTTGCTTATTTTGTTTTACCTGCTAAGGGAATTTGAGTTATTAAGACAGGGTCTCACTACATAGCTCTGGCTGTCCTGGAACTCACTCTGTAGACCAGGATGATCTTGAACTCACAAATATCCACCTGCCTCTGTCTCCAGAGTGCTGGGATTAAAGGTGTATGCCATTTGCCTGAAAATTTCATGATTTCCTTGTTTTTAATTGCTGAGTAATATTCCATTGTGTAAATACACCACCCACAATTTCTGTATCCATTCCTCAGTTGAGGGACATCTGGGTTGTTTTCAGATTCTGGCTATTACAAATAAAACTGCTATGAACATGGTTGAGCAAACATCCTTATATACTTGAGCATCTTTTGGATATATGCCTAGGAGAGGTACTGCTAGATCTTGAGGAAGCGCTATTCCTAATTGTCTGAGAAAGCGCCAGATTGATTTCCAAAGTGGTTGTACAAGTTTACATTCCCACCAGCAATGGAGGAGGGTTCCCCTTTCTCCACATCCTCTCCAGCATGTGTTGTCACTTGAGTTTTTGATCTTAGCCATTCTGATGGGTGTAAGGTGAAATCTCAGGGTCGTTTTGATTTGCATCTCCATGATGACTAAGGACATTGAGCATTTCTTTAAGTGTTTCTCTGCCATTCAATATTCCTCTATTGAGAATTATGTTTAGCTCTGTACTCCACTCATGGAGATAACCTAGAACCCCAGCCATGTAGCCCATGGCTGCTCAGTTTCTAAGTGAGTGCCCTAGTAAGGGGATCAGGAGTTGTCTCTGACATGAACTCAGTGGCTGGTTCTTTGATCATCTTCCCCTCAGTGTGGGGAGGGGGGTAGGGAGTCAGCCTTACCAGGCCACAAAGGAAGACAATGCAGCCAGTCCTGATAAGACTGATAGGAAGGGGAGGAGGACCTCTTCTAGCAGTGGATGGGGGAGGGGCATGGGAGGAGAAGAGGGAGGGGGGCAGGATTGGAGGGGATGAGGGAGGGGGCTGCAGCTGGGATACAAAGTGAATAAATTGTAATAAATAAATAAATAAATAGATAGATAGATAGATAGATAGATAGATAGATAGATAGATAGATAGATAAATAAATAAAGGTGTGTGCTCAGCTCTTTCTTAGTTTTGAACGATTCTTTCTCAATAAACCTATTCTGCCTCCTCACTAACTTTCATCCCCGAATACTTTTTCTGAATATATTTATGGAATTATGGGCTATAATGATGCTTAAATGAAATTACAGTCCATGGTTCCTTTAAAGATAATGAATGCTCAGGGCCTTTTGACTACTTCCTTACACAAGAAATTTATCAGGGTTACTTTTATACAAGATCTCATCAACTCTTGCATAGAATAATGGAAATTTAATTAAATTATCAGGAATCTGGGGGAGACTAGTAATCTGCAGCAAACCTTTAGCATCTCTGATTATTGAATTCGAGATGCTAAAACTGTAAAACTCATTGAAAACTATATTGGATTCTCAAACAACTTCACTTTAAGGCTTCATAGTTGAGTTGCCTCAATTTTTTTAGAGTAAGCATGAAAGCGAGTTAAAAGGTAGGTTGTAAAGGTGAGGTTTTCAAAAACATGAAGAGAAAGGGTAAGGCCACTGACCAAAAGGAAGTGCCTAGCAATAAAATACCTGATGTGGTCAGATTTGTGGCAAAAAGCAAGGAAGCCAAGGGTGGAAAGGCCAAGTGAAACCTTGTTTCCAAAGTCTGTTCCTCTCTCAACTTAAGAGATCTCAGCCTCCTCACTTCCCTTTTTCATTTTCCTGAGTACATCTGGACAACTAGGTAGTTGTGGACAAATGACAATCGTTCTCCGTGAACTTACTGTTCAAGTCATGAAACAATTGTGTAGTGATAAGAACTTAAAATAAATCTATTATATACTACTCCTTTCCCCTTCAAATGTACCTTCGCCTGAAAGGAAAGTTCAGGGAGGTCTTGTATACTCATTGTTAGAGGGTATAGGGATTAGAAATGATGTCTGCCTTTGTGGAATTTGCCACCATATGGAAAAATAAACATTCACAATGATGGGAGATAACACTCTATACAGGTACGCGGGTACAGGGGTGCAGAACACTTGGCATGGGCAGCTGGGGTGCTTTGCTGGAGGCTGAGCTGCCCTTTCGTGGATGAACCAACCTTGACCCTCAGCGCAAAGACAGGTGAGGTGCTGGAGTCTGAGAAAGTGAAAAGCTTAAGGCTTCCTGTTAGTTCAGAAGCCTCACAGCAGATTTAAGGAACAGACACACAGCAGCACTGTGCTTTTCTGGAAGTGACAGAGATCATTGCTTATTTCAGAATAAATACGACAAGCTCAGTTGGGGGACTTTGAAACTTGTTCTATCCACAGAGAGAAAAAAAATGTGGTGTCCAAGGGGTAGACACATAAAAGGCATGAAATCAGTGAAAAATAGGAACTTTTTTTTAAGATAACCATTCCCAATGACAGCACAACTGTGTACTTGGAACAGACATTTAATCTTATTGACCTTCAGCTTCTCTTTCCTCACTGTATCACCCTTCCGTTCAGCCAGAGAACTGATGCCTCGTGAACTGTCCATCTTTAGTATTCTGTGACTACACACTTGGGAGGAGCACAGGGAGCACATGCAGAAAAGAGCCCGTAATTGGCCCTCACTGCGCCACTGACTAGGAATGGAATGGCAGAAACACCACTGTGGCTTCTGAGTAGCCTTATCAGCAAGACAAGAGTGACTGAAAATCAAATCACATCAGCTGGCCCAGAACCTTTTCTTGAATGTTACAATGAATAGAGGATGAATATGCTTTTA